GTGTGTGTGTGTGTGTGTGTGTGTGTGTGTGTGTGTGTGTGTGTGTGTGTGTGTGTGTGTGTGTGTGTGTGTGTGTGTGTGTGTGTGTGTGTGTGTGTGTGTGTGTGTGTGTGTGTGTGTGTGTGTGTGTGTGTGTGAGTGTGTGTGTGTGTGCAACCTTGCACTTTGTTTTTGCTTCGAGCCAAAAAGGAAACGCTCATCTCAGCCAAGAACCGCTCAATTAGTAAAAGCGACAATGTTTCTGGTGTGTGTCCGCCAATGTCCGGCCACGTCCCGTTGGCTTCCGCGCACGTCCCATGCTCATGCTCCGGGAGAGAACTGGCCTAATCAAGGTTTCCGCCCATGTCATTTTGTCCCGCTCAAAATCTGAAACGAGCCAAATCCTGCACAAGCTCATAAAGCGACATAGATGAAGACCAAGGTATGTCCCATGCATGCATTATCTTATTAGATTGCATGCATCTATTAAAGCAATGTACAAACATAGTCGAGTTTTTGTTGTACAGCCTCAAACAAATGCATCCTCTCGGATTCAGCAACCCCTGTGTCCTCCTCCGGCTTGGTGGGGGGTGGCTCTGGCAAGAAGCTGCTGAGGCCTCGCAGCGCCGGCAGGTCCGACTCCGCGAGGAAGAAGAGGCCCTGAGCAAATCCACGTCCAACTTGCCGCTGCGAGAGGCAGGGAATGAGAAATGGAATGCCCCCAAGAAAAAACCTGCTCAGCAGGGAATGAGAAATGGAATGACCCCTTAGAAAGCACCCAACTGGTGGTTTCCTTTCAGGGAATCCTCAGGTTCATTCCCATTCGCACCGATCGCAAGATTAGAAGTGGGGAAGCTCATTTCACTTCGGGTTCAAAGGGCCACCCTTCCGCCAATGGCCGAACATCGCAGCAAAGTGGCTCTAAGAATTTACTCCGTACCGTGCCACGCTTGTTTCCCTTCTGCTCCATCACAACCCACAGAACTCGCAAAAAGCAGGGGCCGCAAGTGGGTATGACCGTCCACCCACCCAACCCCCCAGGCATGCGTGGCAGCGTGCCAGGTTCTCCACCCCTCGAGGCGGTAGACCGACTGCGAGCCCTGCCCGCCTCGATACGCTTGGCTGCAACGTAGGCCTCCACAATGAGGTTCAGCACCCAGGGGATGGTGAAGAGCGGCTCCTGGAGCGGTAGGTTTTTGCCATGCGCGTCTGTGTTTCTTGGGGGGTAAAAGGCGACCAAGAACAAAACCACACTTTCAGGGTTCCACTAATGCAATATGCAAAAGGGGGAACCTGCAAAACGGGCGTCAAGGGAGACTAGGACATCTTAGGACTCGTCCTTTGTATTTGAGAGATGTTGCCCGGTTTAGGAGTATGCTGCTGCCAAGAGCCATTCTAAAGACAGACGACCCAAAACACAAAGGTGGTTGCAACTAAGACCCCATTGCGTCTATCATACGAGGGAACCCACGGTGAGGGTTTCAGCACCCTCAAGAAGTAGGCCAGATGTACATGTCCATTTTGGGCCGAACGTTTAGATGACTGGCTTGCCATGCAAGCACTGTGTACTTCTGGGTTTGCGGATCCGTTTGTTTTCTGCCAACCTTTGGCAGCGCCCCAAATGGGTTTTCGGGTTTCCCAATGCAGCCTTTGGGTTTCTTCAAAGCGGGTTTTGAGTTTTAGGCACTTTCAAGAGAGGAACCATGATGTGTGGGTGTGTGCGTCCTGGACTGGCAACTCATCCGCCAAAAGTCCAACCTGTTGCTAGCAGGGAAACAGTGTTCAATGCAAGTTAGGCCCAAGATCCAAAGCGGAGCTTGGTCGAAACATGTCGACCCTCTAGGCCCCTAACCAGCGGGAAACCAGTGTTTCTGACCTTAGGGATTTTAGGGATTTTTGGGCACTGAACGAGGAATCCGGCAGCGGCCTGCACGACCCGAACGTTCGTTCGTGCTTGCAAGGGGTCGGATGGCAGGATTCGGGGGGTTCAGGCGCCGTTGGTGTGAACCCCTCTTCGATTCCGAAGGTGAATCGTGGCTTCCGAAGCAATCGACTTGGAGAGGGAAGCTCCCACACATCCGCCAGGGTTCCGTCTGGGTGTCTACTTCTCTCAGCATCTTTGGTCCTGCACCATGCTCAACAAGGCGATGGCTGTGAATGCTTGAGCCGCCGTCAAGGGATGCTCCGGATTCAGCCAGGAGTAAGAGGCAAACATCAGTGCGCAGCAGCATGGCACGATGCTCGACCTGAGCTGAGCGGATTCGCACCATAGTTGACAAGCCCCCTGCTTGATGAATAGAAGCCACTTGAGAGGGAAACGAAGTTTCTTCGGAAACCATGGTTAGAAATCCAGCCTTTGGCAAGAACTCCCTGATTCCCATCATATCCTGGGTCACGGAGGTTGGGCCTCACTCCATCTGTTCCTGGGCTGTATGGAAAATTCAGCTAGGCGTCCCCAAGACTGAAGGTCAACGTACGTTCAATATGGGGCGGTTGTCAAAGTCAGTGGCCATTTGTTGGTGTCCCCTGAAAAAAGCGCGGCACGAGGTGAGGCTTCACAATCTCACGTGTGGTGCGTGTACTAGATTCAGCAAGCCGGATTCTCGATGGGAGATGTGCAGGAGTGTAAGAGCCCGGACTGAAAAGTGACAATAACTCTCTCACACACCCAAGGAGAAAAAAGACTCAACGCTCGGCAGCAACTAGAAAAGTTTGTTGACACCGGCCACAAACAGTATTCCCCGCTCCCCCCCTGCGAGACGGAAGCTCGGAGTTGTCGCAAGGCATGATGGAAACCATGATTGCTAGTGGGTGGAAAACCTGAGTTCTTGCACATACACCCCACATGGGTGTTCGCTGAACGATGAACAAAAGAAGATCCCGAATGTATGGTTGCTTTTGGCATCCTTTCAATCATCATGCAATAAAAGTGTCAGCCCTGTGTAACATGTTTGATCATAAACGGGATGCTCGACCGTTGCTCGTGACGACGAACTGACCGCGGACAGACACCACTGCAGATAAGCAATGTGCTTCGACAACCACCGTTGCTCGACCAGCAATACGCAAACAGCACCAAAGATTCTTGCAACAACAAGCAGCCAAACCACCAAAAGGCGCGAACCGATGTGCGATGAGAGGCCAAATTCCCTCGAAGCAGGTGAAGAGGCAGTACAGCCTCCAAAGTGCATTGAGCTCCTCTTTGCGCGCCTGCTCCACTTTGGCAGTCGCGGGCTCCTCGAAACCGAAACCATGGGCCCCAGGCCCGGTGGGTTCAAAAACCAATAGGAAAACCCTAAAACCGCAGGATCCCCATTGGACGCCAACTACAGGGTTTCTCGATGGAAAAGTCGGGGCGTCTGTTGGGTTTGGGTAATTTGGGTGGTCCCTGTCTCCCTTCTCCCCAAGGCAGTTGGGTTGCTCCACCGATTCCCTGCGCAAAACAGTTGGCCCGCAAAAGAAAGCCACAGGACCCACTAGCAATCTACCCTGATTTGCTAATCTTGAGGTTTGGAGCAACCTGACCTTCAGGTGTAGGTACCCTCCACTTACTGTGTCTCTTTTATGGCTGATACTTAATATAGGGGGCCACCAATCCCGTTTAAAACCCCCAAGAAGAACTCTTCACAGGTTGGGTGAAATCGCGTACCAACTGGTGCGAGGTGGTGTCTGGCCATCAACAGTCTGGGGTGTCTTTGGGGAGCCCCCGTCTAGTCTTTAAAAAAAGTGGCCGACCCCTCGTCAGTGAAGGGAAACCAGAGGGGTCTCTCTTCCTCGAGGGCACCCCCTTTGCGTTTGTTTTGAAGAAAAAAACACGAGAAGAACCATCATTGTTAGGATACCTTCAAAAAGACGTTCTAACCACAACTCAGTTGCCCAAAGAACCCAGAAATACAAGGCCAACCTTTTGGGGCCATGACTAAGCACAGCAACGGAGGTTAAGGATGAACAGCCCGAGCTGACTTTGATCACACCCCAGATTGACCCCAGAAAAAAAAAGATAAAACCCCAAATAAACCCCAGATAAACCCCAAACGAGAAAGCAACAAGAAAAAAAAAGTGGAAGAGACCATTTCCCCTCCTCCCAACCGTAGCACTTGATCACGTTGATGGACTGGATCACTTCCGTGGCCTTGCGCACCCGCTCGTCCGTCTTGGCCTGCTGGGTCTCCTCAAGCCTAAGAAAACCCAGTCGAGCACCGGGGCGGGGGACGCCAATAAAGGCAAAATAGTAAAATTGTTATTATTAATAATAAGTATTATTATTGGTCTGTGTTTTGTTAAAAAAGAAATAAAATAAGCTAAGTCTGGAAATGAAGAAGCTTGTTTAACACATGGGTACCCCTTCCACCTTGGCTTTTCAGCGGAAACCAAACAGAAAACCATGTTGCAGCTGGGTCTTCCTGTCTGTTGACGCATGTTGACCACGTGTGAATCGCCAAGCAGGATAGAAACCAAAACTGCCAAAAGCAGTTCGCTTCAAAGCTTGCCAAGTCTGTCCGATGCACCGGTTCATGATGTACATCATGACCTGCGTCGAGGGCTTCTCACCCTCCAACATGGAACGATGGAAGCTCCAGACCAACCCTCTTAACGGTTTCCTTCGGAATGGGTTCCATGATGGGATAACTTCAATGTACCAAATGGGGCACAAAAGGTTGAAAGGCTGTCTTTCGCGAGGGGTCATAGATTTTCTCAAATATCACCCCAGCAAACGGAAACTCCCTTCAACCTCAAATTGACCCCAAAAGCTAAAATCCTGCACAAGTGATCCCAAGGAAAAACTGGGACAAACCACCTACCAGCTGGTGGGGATATATATATATATATATATACATGTTTTGTTCCATCCTGCGAACAAAAATATGAAAGAAAACAACTTCGGAACGTCTGAATAATCCGAGGCGCCGGGTTCAGAAGGATCACCACCAGCATCCAGCTAAGGCCAATGAAGACCTATCGCGTGAGCGAGCTCGCGGAAGCAATGCAAAGACCTTCATACGGAGTAAGCCTCAAAACAATAGCCCGACCAGGGCAAACAGTGATTGATCTTGTTTCCTCTAGGAGCCACATGTCCATCCATGTCGCGGTGCGTTCGCCGCCATGTTTGACGAATACCAGCAAACTGCGATCAGCCACCGTTGCCGGATTCCAGTTGCAAGAAAGCAGTCTGGGTGTTCAAAGAAATGTGAGCAGCGGCTGCCTGGAGATCAGTAGCTACATACTTGATCACTACACCCGTGCCGGGTTCAAGTTGCTCAGCAAGTGCGGACAAGTTCACTTTGTGAGTGCGCTGTATGTGCCGCATTTTTGGGGAGTAACCCTTCTTGGCAACGAGGATAGTGGCTTGGATATCTTCATGCAGCACCAGCTCAACCGGGCGTCCAAGCAGACGTTCCCATAAGGTCAAAGAGGGAAGACCCTCTTGATACAAAGAGAATGTGAGCGAAACGACCTCGGCTTCGGTGGTGGATCTCGACACTGATGTCTGTCGTTTGCTCAACCACGCTAAAGGAAAATGGGTGTTCGGTCCTTTGAGGACCAGGAAGCCACCGGACGTGGACTTCGCATCCCTTTCTCCAGCATAGTCGGCATCCGCATACAGAGCGAGGTGAAGATCTTGCGGGTTGTCCTTTATGACTCCTACCAACCGGTAGTGCGTAGTCGAGTGGATGTACGCGATAAGACGGGCGAGTTGCCTATCATGGTTGCGAGACCACTTCTGCACGGCGGTTGCTAGGTCACCTATGGGCTTGATGATGTCAGGACGCGCTAGTCGTCCCAGCCATAAGGCCTTCATGAGGAGTTTGCACGCATTTGGGGCTAGCTCACCAGCTGACTGATCATCTTCAGGAGGAAGTGACCCGTCTGGACAGAACGGAGTAGTTACCCTCCGGAGCTTCTCGGGCTGAGTGCCGGTTATAGAACAAAACAGTTCTACAGTTTCACGGCATAGTCATTCATGTCAAAGGCAACGGCACCCTTTAATGCGCTTACAGCTGCATTCAGATCATGCTCTTGAGGTTCTGCGGGGCCATCTATAAAGACATGATTACGCCCGAGCACCCGAAAGATCGGCTCGGGAGGCTCTACATTTATCAATTTTGTAAGCTTCTCCCAAAAGGCTTCATGTGCATCTGCGGGACCCGAAAGGGTCAAGTCATCGACGTAAGTCGAGAGCATAAGGCCTACCCCTTTAAAGAAAAAGTTTCCAGGAAGCTCTGGGATTTCTTCCCCTCCCAGCTGCTTAAGCAGTTTCTTAAGGTGTGCCTCCCACAGACCTCCTGCGTCAGGGTGACCATATAGGGCACGAATCAACAAGACCACGGGTTTCACGAACTTGGAACCCCAATCCACGTCTGAAACTGTGAGCTAAGGAACGCCTGGACATAGGCTTTTACCGCGTCAGCGGTGGTGACCGTGTGTCCTGGGATACACCCATACGCCAGACAGGCGTTTAGGCCTTGTACCGAGGTGGGGTTGGCCCCCAGTTCCTGGTACACCGCGGGTGCACCGGCTTCATCTTTTGCACAGTCTCCCCTGAACACGATGCGCCCCTTTACCTTTTGGAGGTGCTTCGCGAGCTCATAGAAATTGATGCTGGCGATCGTCATGAGCTGACCAAAGTGCACCTTGATCCCAGACTGTCGCGCTTGAGCTGCGACCTCAGCCTTCTCCCGGACAGTTGAACTATCCCATACTCCTACGTCTTGGAGTCCGGTCGCCTCCTGCTTGATTGCTTCTAATGCTTCAGGAGATGCAAGCATCTCGGCACGGGACAGGAGTTTGGTGACCATTGCATGTGCTTCTGTTTCGACAGCCTTGGCGGGCATGCCGACAGCACTAGCGAGTAGACCTTGGACGTCCAGGAGTTCCTCGACGATCTCTTTCGTCTTAGAGTCTGATTCAACGAGGAGGGTGAAGTCATCCACTCCGGAAAGAGGAGATTCGTGCTTTAGGGATTGCTCCTTAACACGATGCTCCGTCTGCTGAGTGACTGGAACAACAGGCATTGCTTGAACCGGAGTCCTACACACTTTGGGACACAACGCCTTGGCGATCAAACCACACATTTGCTCAGCGTAGAATGCAGTGCGGGAGGTTCGGCGCTGGAGTATGTTTTTCGGACTTTGTGTGCGGACACTGACGATCAGCGCATGCTTCGGCAAGGGCCTTTGATGTAGTTTTGATGTGGCAAGGCTTCTTGATGGGTGAACCATTTTCATCCGTCAAGCCGACAGCACAGCCGTGGAACGAAACACCGTGGAACACGTCCTTGTGGCGTTCGAAGAACTCGGATACATCTGGCCTTTGCCATCCCTCGCAGTCGCGTGGCCACTCGAAGGTGACTGATCCGCCGGCCTTCAAAAATGTGCTCGGCGTGCAATGCAAACTTTGAAAACATCACTTTGGACTGCTTCACTTTTTCTCCCAACTTTTTCTTAAACGGCTTACCCAACCGGTGGAGGCTCAGCCCTGCCAGGGCGATCCTGAGACACATGGAATGGCTGCCCACAAGTTGGGTTGGACGCACTGCGAGATTTGGTACGCGAGCTGCTCATCCGCAACGGCTGACTCTAAGTCAATGTACTCCTTTGCTAATCGGACATGTGGGATGCTGAGATCCTTGAACACATTACCCATTGAGGAATTGGGTGAACAAGCAAACTCAAACATCGGGCCAACAGCATCATGCGCTAGGCGCTTGCGAGCACGCTTATTGCCAACGGTGATTGGAGGGCGTTGGCCCCCCTGAAGCTGGCAAGGGTTACCGAAAACGGACGGCTTTTCCCTCGTGGTCTCAGCAAGTGTTGTGCTGGAAGCGGTTGACACGGTAACGGCTGCTCCTGAGCTGACTGGGATGTTACCCTCGTGAGGACTGAGCCCCCCTGCTGCGCTTAAAGCTGCAGCGAATGCTCGGAATCACTATATAACCTAAAAATGGTTATGCCAGTCCAGAACGCAGGGAGTTCTCGATGCGCTGAGAATCTGCCTGCCCAACCATCACTGATATCTTCCTTGCTACCATCTTGCTGGGACACAACGCGAGTGGTCCTACCGGGCGTGGTTCTGCACACTGACACGGGACAGTCACCGACATCCTTGGGAGTGAAAAGTTTAATCCTAGGCTGATGATGCACGCGGATTAACACGTTACCACTAGGCTTATAAACCCATTCATCCTTCTTGGTTGATGCGGGGACAGCGTCGGTATGCGGAACACTGGGCCGAGAAGAGGCGGGCTCTCCAAGCAAGGCGCGGACGATATCGGGGTCTCCCTCCTCAGGTGCCTCGATCTCTGGGGCTTCTGGGGGTTCTAGGGAGGACGCCTTTGCAGAGCGTATAGCAGCTGCCTCATCTTCACCCTTACTTGGCCTGGCGGCCTCCTCACTTGCGGCCTTTTTGGCCTTTGCTTCTTGTTTTTCACTTTCAACTAGCTCTGCAAACCTTTTGCGGCATTCGTCAGTGTGATGCCTAGAACTAGCATGGCCGGTGCAGGCCTTGCATCCAGGAGTCTCCTTGAACTTTATAATCCGTTCAATGGTGATGTACACGCTTCGTGACTTAAAGCCTGACGGAGTTGACGGGGCGGGGATGCCTTCAGGAATGAAAGGAACATCTCTGATGGCATACTCAGGAACCTCGCCATCGCCGGCTCGCAGGGCTCGATCGGCAGCGGCCGCGATCGGGAAAACAGGATCGCCTTCCTCGACGAACAACTCAGGTTCGGGCACATCATGGACAGTAACATTCCCATTGGTCCTGAAACTTTGGTAGTCCATAACTTTTAGTACCCTACGATTTCGCATCCCTGGATCGATACGCCAACCCATGAACAAGCCTGGGGCCATGTTGGGTTCTAGGGTCCTCTTTCCAGCTGAGTTTAGGCGATACCAAACGAGCTGTCCGAAGCAACAGCGGACGCCGTCGAACTTCTCCTTGGTGAGTGCTTCCCATTGCGTCTTTGTCGGATCGAACGTGGACGGTCGAAAGACATCGAGAGGCATGCAAAGGGATAGGAGTGCGTGTGCAGAGAGTAGGGCAAACCCGATTGATGGTGTATGCTCCTGCAACACTCCTTCTCTTCTCGGACATCTCGCTCGAGCTCGGAGTTGTGTGGCCAGCGATTCGGCAACGAAGTTTCGGGGATCATCCCTACTTCCTCGGCCGCTCCCTGCAACTCTCCAGCTTCGTCCATTTTTATGAGACAGTGTGGAGCGAGTTCGTTGGCTCTGAGGCCTGAGATTCCTTGCGTGCGACGGAATGTCTCTCTTCGAGACCGGGTATGCGACCCTTGCGCCGGAAAACACATCCCTGATGACATGGTGGGATTTTATTCCGCCTATGCCGATGCCAACGTGTTCATCGCCTTTCGCCAAGATCACGCTATCAGTAGCGAGCTGCTGGTAGGGAGCGGTAGGTGTGTCGAGAAGATCGTCACTCCGCCCTCCTGGTTTCCGGGCAACACGCATTGAGGTGTTCTTAGCGATGTTGCAAATCTTGCAGAAGGGATTCTTGGGAAAGTGAGTCCGTTGGTGTTCCGGTGAACTGGCTTCGGCCCGAAGCCGAGGTTCATCACGAAGCTCACCACCTTCTGCAAAATCGACAAGCCTGCGCTCGTCATCAGGATGTTCGGGCACCGCTGGTGCGGGCACAGGAGGTGCTCCAACAGGTGGTGGAGCTGGCATGGCTGGCTTTTCAGCAACCTTAATCTCTTGGACCACATCATCAATGAGCCCATTGAGCTGCTCCTTTTCTTCTTCTGGCACTTGGGGAGGTGATGGAAAACCCTTGCATGGATCAATGATGAAGGAATCATCATCGAACAAGGAAACTGCATCATCCTCGACTTGCACAGGAGAACCAACGACATTGATCGGTCGAAGATTCGCGGCTTGATCAACGATCTGCGGCTTGACTACCTCATCGTACTGTGGTACGTACTCAACAACCCT